TATATATATATATACTGGGGGTGGCAGGGCCAGATCAGAAGTGCTGAGAGATTTCATTGGATTAGTTTACTGTCCTTCAAGAAGATCAACCAATGAACTGTGACGATGGACAAAATGTAAAATATAGTTGTTCGGGTCATAACAGGCCCCAGGCCGGAGCATAAATGTGTGTCGGCCCACCAGGCACTGCCCGCTACGTCAGATGGTCAGTTCAGCTTTAGGGCAGGGAATCAAACCACTGGTCACCTCTGGTTCCATTTAACACATAATATAATTTATAATGTCCAGATTAAAACTKGTATGATTTGATTTTCTCTACTAATTTAACACAGAAAATCAGATTTAAAAGTCAGATATTCGCTGATAAAATAAAATAAAAATTCCCAGAAGAAGTGAATTATTYCCTAAAACCCAGGTTGATTTAATGAGATGTAGTAAGTAAAAGTGTCCAGCAGGGGGCAGCAGGGGGTTGTTCTGTAAAATGAACATTGGTGTTTTTAATACAGATGCAGATGTTTGTTGTTCTAATAAAAGCCTTTAAGTTGATTTATTGTAAAAAAAAAAGAGAAGAGGTTCTGGTTCTGTCTGCACTTCTGCCACGTTCTGAAGATAGTTTCAGAACTCGTTTAGTTTTAACTGAACTGAGTGGTCCTATCAGATTACAGCAGCTTCAGGAAGTACTCAGGCCCATTCAGTTTAATCACTGTTTGAAGGAACAATGCAGATTAGATTACTCAAATCTAAATATGCCAGATTTATTTGATAAAACTGATGTCTGCACTGTTTTATGCTCATGAAAAAGTTCAGAAGGTGATCTTCGAACTCACAGCCCCCTGCTGACCAGGCAGACCACACTGAAGTTTTCCTCTTTCCTCAACGTCTGATCGACCTGCAGCTCAGATTAAACTTTAATCCACTGACGTTCGTCTTTAATTCAACTGCTGAGAGGTTTTTAATCTGAGAACAGATGTTGTTGAGCTGAAAGTCCCAGATGCTTCAGAGCTGTGAGGATCACACAGGTTCATCAGGAGGGTCATGTGACCAACAGGTTGGACAGGAAGGTCATGTGACCAACAGGTTGGACAGGAGGGTCATGTGACCAACAGGTTGGACAGGAAGGTCATGTGACCAACAGGTTCATCAGGAGGGTCATGTGACCAACAGGTTCATCAGGAGGGTCATATGACCGACAGGTTCATCAGGAGGGTCATGTGACCAACAGGTTCATCAGGAGGGTCATGTGACCAACAGGTTCATCAGGAGGGTCATGTGACCAACAGGTTGGACAGGATGGTCATGTGACCAACAGGTTCATCAGGAGGGTCATGTGACAAACAGGTTGGACAGGATGGTCATGTGACCAACAGGTTGGACAGGAGAGTCATGTGACCAACAGGTTGGACAGGAGTGTCATGTGACCAACAGGTTGGACAGGAGTGTCATGTGACCAACAGGTTGGACAGGATGGTCATGTGACCAACAGGTTGGACAGGATGGTCATGTGACCAACAGGTTGGACAGGAGGGTCATGTGACCAACAGGTTGGACAGGAGGGTCATGTGACCAACAGGTTCATCAGGAGGGTCATGTGACCAACAGGTTGGACAGGATGGTCATGTGACCAACAGGTTCATCAGGAGGGTCATGTGACCAACAGGACAGGAAGGTCATGTGACCAACAGGTTGGACAGGAGGGTCATGTGACCAACAGGACAGGAAGGTCATGTGACCAACAGGTTGGACAGGAGGGTCATGTGACCAACAGGACAGGAAGGTCATGTGACCAACAGGTTGGACAGGAGGGTCATGTGACCAACAGGACAGGAAGGTCATGTGACCAACAGGTTGGACAGGAGGGTCATGTGACCAACAGGACAGGAAGGTCATGTGACCAACAGGTTGGACAGGAGGGTCATGTGACCAACAGGACAGGAAGGTCATGTGACCAACAGG